AATTGAGATAAATGTCTTCAAATTTGACAGCCAGGTATTTTTGTACTTACACTTGGATTAGATGCAAAGGCAGCTGCTCTCATCTGCATTTTCAGAGATCTTCTTCGAGTTGGAACACTTTCATCAGACACATTGGACACGTTGGGTTTGGAGCTTGTCTGAAATTTTCTCATCAAATGAAAGTACGCCATCTACAGTACCGGTCAATATGATACACGAAAACGTACTTTTGAGTTGATTTCCAGCCATTTTCAGGAGGTTAGAGCTCGATTGTCAAATTTTCGATCATTTTGAAAATTTTGGAGGATATAAAACAGACCTAGATTGAGAACTTTGCATTCACCGAATTTTTCGAAAATTCCTGTTTTTTCAGCTATTTGCCGATTTCTGGAAGACATCTGTTTTTCCAGTTTTCAGCACAGAAACAGGCTAAACGAGTGTCCTTCAGAAAGCGGCTAACAGCTGAAAAATTGGGGCTTTTCAAAAAATTCTGTGAATGGAAAGTTTTCAATCTAGGTCTGTTTTACCCCCCGTCAAAAATTTCAGCAAGATCGAAAACCTGACGTCCGAGCTCCAGATTCTTGAAAATGGTCAAAATGGCCAAAAATCAACTGAAAAATACATTTTTGATTGACCGGCACTGTAGCTTCGTCTCTTTGAGGGCTTTCAAATGGCACCCCGAAAATTGTGAGTTTTCGTGGTAAGACCGATACCCATAAAACCAATTAATTGAATTTTTAGAAACATAGGCATGATTATATTCATTTAAAAACTCTTAACGGGTCAAACTCAAAACTGAAACATTTCAAGATTTTGAGCAAAAACCGACAAAGTTACGGAGAAAAATGTATTTTCGTGCTGAAACCCAAAAACACAGACATCATTATTTTCATTTAAAATACTCATTTTCATTCAACTCGACTGTACCTGAAGAGGAGCTCTAGCTGATTTTGGAATCGGCAGTGGGGATGGCGTCTCTTCAATTGCAACCGATCCAAAATAGTCCACTGATTTTGATGAGGTTTTCTTGCAGTTTGTAACTGGAGATAGGAACCATTCGCTTCTGGATTTCATCCGTCTTGCTTGATTTTCATGAACAAATTGCAGATATGATAGGGATCTATCTCCACCGCATGCAGTTAAAGGGCGCACAATATCCAGGTCGGTGACATCTTCATTATCCGACACTACTTCGAGAAGTGCCTAGAAATTATGGTTTTTAGACTCTTCTTTATAAGCTGCTACAGTGTAATGCTGGTACAAAACATCGGAGCTCTGGAAGAGAAAAGCTTGTGGGAAGGTGGTTTTTTTGAAGTTCCAAAAATTTCAGATATTTTTAAATTTCCAATATATTACGATTTCAGGTTTTTTTGGAATTTAATTTCTGTTTTTTTCTTAACTTTTACATTTTCAGATTTCTGAAAAGCTCCAAAACATCTAAATTCCACTTTTTGAAGTGTCCGATTTCTTATTTTTCGGACTTCCGAAAAATTCCAAAATCTCGTATTTGAAATTCCAGCTTTCGAATGATATACCGTAGAACCTGTATTAGAAGGGCGCCTTTAATAGAAGGGCCCTCCGAGAGAGGCTTGGAAAATTCGAAGGGTCCCCTATAATAGAAGGGCCTCCGTAATATAATCTCCTTGATAAAAAAATTGGCTCAAATTTGATGGATTGATAGATTTTCATTAACTTTGAGCGATGAAACATTTCGGGAAAAATGAAAAAAGAAGAGCCCGGAAAAGTGGGAAAATAAAATTTTTATAAATCTAAAAATTTGCCCGAAAACGGACGAAAATCGAAACAAGGGAATTTTAAAATATTCGCTGATTACGGTAGTTCAGCCGCGGCCACCAAATTATCTCTTCCACAGCACCGATTTTTTTCGTACCAGGAAAATACACGATTAAGGGGTACTAACCTCTCCAACACTGCTACTCAACCGATTGCTCAAACGGGCCATAGTTGGCATTGGCTTGCTGGAAGCTCGACTCGTACCAGGTTGATCTCTACTTCTCATCGGTTCATTCTCGTTAATCGTAGGCACCGACATCGAAAAACAACCTGAAATTGATTCGAACTACAACTAATAATATCTCTCTCATATTGTTTCTATCCATTTATTCAGTTTCAACACTGTTTTAGCCTTTTCTTAAAATTTAAAGAAAAAAGTAAGAGGAATATGAATTGCGGTTTTTAGCTGTTTTCTTGAAAGGGACAGAAGACACGTATCATTGATGAGAGAGCGGAGAACAGACAGAAAGGAAGAAGGAATTTGTATTTTGTTTGAATTTTAAGGATTTTGGGGGAATGAGAAAATACGCTAGAACGTATTTATGAATGGTTTTTGATTATGATTATCTCAAAAAATGATAAGGCAAAAAGGCGGGAATGTGGGGGGAATTTCAAAAAAAAAGAAAGAGAGATGAGCAATTTTGGAAAGTCTTTTGATTTAGGTCAAGAATTTAAATTGGACACATAAATTTTGAATTTCATGGACGAAGACAATTGTTCATATAATTGTGATCTGGTGTGATTCCTTAATTCATAGGAGCTCCCAAATTGAATACTACCGTAATCCAAAACACTCTTGTTTGAAAAGAAAAACCAAAAAATCGGAACCACACCAAACATTTGCACAAAAAAGTTTGCACAAAAATGAATGCACAAGTTGTTAGGCCACAAAATGTTTGAATGGGGCAGGACAAGGATGGGGAATTGATGAAAATGATGAAGGACAAAAAAAAAAAAGAAAAAAACAAGGTAAATATTCACAACAAAAGAAATACATCATCTTCAGAAATCGCAACTGACTGATGTCCTCAAATCAGTCGGATACGGATCTTTGGCTGCAATCGAAACACTTCTTTTGGGATGATCCGTTGTCTGTGTCAATGCATGTTGCTTCAGACTTCCAGCACGACCAACGCCATTGCCACGTGGCGGCTTTGACGATGATGGGATTGGTTCGGGGGAGTCTTCTTCTGTCAGATGAAGTGCAGCAAGTGAATAGGCACCAGCACATTTTGCCGCCAACGCCGAGAATTCGTCTCCTCGAGCACGGCGATCTGAAGAGAGAGGATGGACACGTGGTTACAGTACAAATTAAGAAAAGAAGACAAACACCATCACAATGTCTCTGATAGTTTAAATTTTTGAAATATCTGTTCAAATCAATCTGTGAAGACCCAATAATTTTAGGTTATCAAGAATCCCAAACCAAGCATTCCAATCAGTGAATTCCATTCCATTTCTGTGCTCAATGCTCCGTGTCACATGGTTCGAACCACTATGGTATGCTGTTGCGATCTAAGGAGATGGCGAGAAATTTCGAATTTTTAATGACTTATAACTTCACCATGTCAATTTTTCATTAGAGCGCAACTGCATACCACTGTAGTTCAAACCCTCTGCCGTGTGTATTTTTGTGTTTTTGTCATGCGATCAGGGAAAGAAACATTCAAAACTAAGTACAATCACCAGTGTTTATTCACCATCATTCCAAAAAAAAAAGAAAGAAATCAGGAAAAAGACACACAGACATTTATAGAGATAGAAAGAGAGAGTGTGTGATCTTAAGAGAGATTCAGAGAAATCGGTAGGGAAATGATGAAAAAGAACAAAAACGTTTGAGATCTGGAAAAAGGAACACCATGCAATCAGAGTGGATTCTAAGGAAACGGTGCAAAACATGCAAATGGGAGAATAAAGAGATTTTGACAATTTGAGAGATAACGAGAGAGTGTGTGGGATGAAGAGAGAGAGTAGAGAAGACAAAACTGAAACCCGCGTATAGGCTACTGTAGGTGAATAGTATAGAATAGAAGAAGAAGAAGAAAAGTTAGTAAACCGTGTTGAGGTTGAAGTGGTGGTGACTACAAATGGATTACTGTAAGAAAAGGGGTTAGAAGGGTGTTGTTTGTGCAATTTGGCGGGGGTAAGAAGTAGAAGAAGAAGGGGAAAAGGAATGTTAACTAGTAGAATAACTCACTGGAAGGGTTATGGAAAGTGAACATTCGATTTTCGTCGATTCGCAACGTTCGACCCGTATATCTGGCGTAGTATTCATAGCATTCTCGTGGAAAGAGTTTTGTGTCGCCGAATGAGCAAATTATGGAGCACACGACATTGGAGGCAAATTTGAAGCGTTGCAGATCTTCTACTCGGGCCTGGAATCAGTAGGTTATTACAGGTAAAGAGACACTGCAGAAAAACCGCTAAATGAAGAGGCAAATAATTCGAGGAAACGACGATTTGGGGGTACAAGGGGGTGCAGAGTGATTTAGGGTACAAAACACGAAGTTTCAGGTAATTTGTACCTTCCGAATTGAGGATTTTGTACCCCAGTGACCCCAAAATTGTTGTACTCTCTAAATAATATGCCAGCTATAGATGCATAAATTGATGGTTACTGGACGTTTCAGAACTTAACGTTTCCGACTCACGATGTTTCAGGACTTGACTTTCAGAACTTTTCTGCATTTTTGCATATTGATTTTTGGACAAAAATTCGTTAACGTCGAGATCTGAAACGCCCAGGAGCCCAATTGGCGAATAACTGCTTGTTGGCAGCCATTGGAGAACCGACGGGCCGTTGACAAACTATCGACGGACCATCGGAACCCCTTGACGGCCGACTTGAAAGTTTAGGTTGAAAGTCAGCCAGAAATGAAATTTGTTCCGAAAAATCATCTTTCTCACCTGTCGCCCATCGTGTATACATGTATGGAACAATGAAGGAGCTACTGAAATGGCTATCGCATTTGGATTCATTGCCGTCCCATGACCATCCGACGAATCGGCGACCACTCGGAATGTACCGAATAGGAGAACAAGAAGATGTTGGGAACCAACTGGCAATGAACCAAATATCCTAGAATATTGAAGCTTTGAATTTCAGATTGACGAATTTATTTACCTATAGAATAGTTGCCTCTGTTTCTCAATATCCATTCCTGTGGCAGCACTGTTGAATAGTGTCTCTTCATTATCTCTTCCAAAAATGCCACCTGGCAATTTTGCTAAGAACTTTTTGATGACTGAAGCCGCTGTGTAGACTGTGAAGTTCTCGATATTAACCAGCCTTCCATGCTGCATCACATGTGATAGTTTTCGGACTTGAGCCTGATTTCCCGGTGCTCTCCAAATGTCTTTTTTAGCTGGTCCTTCTTTATTGACCTTCAAAAGAAGCATCAGAAGTGTCGCTGGGATGTCATGAGCAAACGCTTCGTTTATAGGAACACCAAATCTTACTCTGAAAGAAAAAACTATTAGAAAAATAATTATTAAAATCGCTCACTTTTCAATTCGACCCCGGTAGCGATATTCGTCAGATGAGCCGCACAGCACCATACTGTAACCCACCACGGTCATACCGCTGCGCCGTGGCTGATGGTGCTGCGGCGACTGGCTCGCCTCGTACACCGTCGTCGTCGTGGCGGCGAAGGAGCACCGGAACGACGAAGTATTCGAGACGTCGTGATTTAAGGATTCTGATGTGGTAGTAGGAGTTGGAGGGAGAGATGGTGTGGGTTTGTAATGGACGAGGATGCAGCTACCACTAATCTTGGAATACCCGCCAACTGAAAGTAGAAATTATTCGATTTGGATAATAAGGGAATATGGGTAACGAGTAAATACAAAGATGAGAAGAACGAAAAGTAGAGTTAAACATAAGACAACGGTTTGAATCTACAATACAACCTGTACTAACTTTGATCCAATTTATCTCGATTCCTGTAAAAGATATCAAGCATTTGTCCACTGATGAAATGCTTGTGATATTATGATAAACAACTTTTCAGTTAACAGTTCTTTGATATCTCTTACAGGAAATTAGATAAACTGGCTCAAAGTTAAAAGTTAGGGGATCCTCATAGAACGCCTCCACGCAACCAAGTTTGAGCTCTATTATCTCGGACCCTACAAAAGATATCAAAAATTTGTCAACTGATAAAACATTTCTAGTATTTAGATAAACAATTCGTCAGTTGACAACTTTTTGATATCTTTCACAGGAATCGAGATCAATTGGCTCAAAAGTTAGGTGGCCCGTCTATTATAGGAACTGCTGACCAATTGAAGAAAAATAGCTACAAGTGCTGGAAAAGACGAAAAAGGAAAAGAAAAATTGTTTTGATGGTTGGGGGGAAGTAGTGGGCCCGGGTAATTAAGTAATTATATCGAAGTTAATTGGTGACGAAAGAGTGCGAACGAAAATAGAAGACCACGATGATGATGGGGGAAGAAGAAAAATGACTCGTTTTGGAGAGAAGTCTTCAGGGAAATTCAGAAAATTGCTACTTGTCGATGATTTCCGTTTTCAAACCAGTATGCTTCTATTTTTTTTTATTTCATCAAAAAAAAATGACGCAGAATGAGAGGCGCAGAATGTGAAAGAAGAAGGTCAAATAAAAGAGAACTGAAATGATATCACCCCAATGATGTACAATGGTTGTGTCCCGCGCAGCACGGTTATTACAGCCAAAACTTTTTTTGGCCTATCGAATTGGTCAAAAAGAGGGGCAGGGAGGTGACAGATAAGAATCAGAAAATAGAATAAAAGAAAAGAAAAGCATTTCTTTTTCTTCTTCTGCTTCGTTTTGGGAACGAGAGTGTGTCCTGTATAAAATGTATATAAACAATGCATATACACAATGTACATGTCGAAAAGGAACAAGAGAGAAAGAGGAAAATGGTTGTATGTACATATAAATGTATAATATGTATAAGAGGCAGAAGAACAGAGAGTCAGGTATGAATCACAAATCGAGAGAGACAACCATGACAACTACAACGACGAATGGAGACGACGATAAGAAGAAGAAGAAGAAAAAGAAGAAGAAGAAGAAGGATTCATTTCCATCTCATAAATCAATTGAGACATGGAACACATATATACACACAGGGTGGCAAATTATGCAATTGTGAAATTCCTGTTTTTAATGTATTCACAATGACATAAGAAGAGAACAGAAGAGAATGGAGACGTTCGGGTAGGTGTGCAATTCATTGAAGACTAGATTTTTGATTTAATGGAAAAGTTCGGAATTCGAATGATCTAAGACATTCGAGAGAGTGAATCTTGTGTGAGAAATTACTGTAAAACCTGGGGTAGAAATACTCCTTGGCTTTCAACTTTGAGAAAATTTAGCTCGGTACCTGCCAAAGACATCGTAGAGTTGTGAACTGATAACATGTTTGTGATATTATGATGTGTAATTTATCAGTTGATAACTTGTTCATATCTTTAACAGGAACCGAGAAAAAGTGGCTCAAAGTTAAAATCCCTTTTATTGCGGTAAATTCAGTTTAGACTGTTTCCATGGATCCTAGATTAGAAAAAACAAGTTTTGTGAAATTCTAAGATTTCAAATTTCAGGTAATCGCAAGAACTGGGATAATCTCGATTCAACTTATCATAAAACCTGTAATAGAAGGGCCTCACACTGTTTGAGCTTGTTTGGGCTTGTTTGAGCTTAATTATCTCGGTTCCTATGAGAGATATAAAAAATGTGCCAACTAACAAAATGCTTTTGATGTTATGATAAACAACTTATTAGTCGACTGCTGTTTCCTATCTTTAACAGGAACCGAGATAAATTAGCTCAAACTAAAAGCCCTTCAATTACAGGTTTTACGATTAATTTAGTTTTGAAAATTTCCAAGGATCCTCGGTTAGAAACAATAGGTTTTGTCAAATTCTAACTTTTCAAATTTAAGGTACTATTCACAAAAAATAAAACTCAGATTCCAAAAACTATGAAAGAATCTGTTCATACTAATCCAGACAATTGGTATTTCTGTTGAAAAAAGAAGAGTCCAAACAAAAATCAATGGTTTTGATCATCGAAACAAAAAGTATGCAAAAAACAAATATTTAAAGAGAATGAGCACATCGTACCCATCATCAAACGGAGTCCAAAACAACACTTTTTGTTGCCAACCGCTTCGAACCAAAAAAGCAAAACACAGAAGTCTTCTTGCACCGAAAAAAGAGTCAGAGAGAGAGAGAAAAGGAGCACAGTGGGTGGTATGTATTTCTTTCATTTCCTCCAAAAAAGTCAATATTTGCGCGGTGCACAGGCAGACAACACACGCGGGAAATAAGGCAAGGTGAGCTCACACCCACCACAGTCACCCATACGGAAAAGCAATTCGGCAAATGACGGAAAGAACAAACCACCACCGGTTACAAAATGAAGCAAAACAGATAAAGAGGTGTGACTGGGTGGAGATATTGGATAGTATTCGGTTTTTGAAAAAAAAAATAGAAAACACACACTTGAATGCTTCTGGCATCTAGAGAGGATTTCCAGTCTTCAGGACCGGAAAACCTGTAATAGAAGGACCCTCAAACTCCCAAGGTTGAGCTCAATTATCTCAATTCCTATGCAAGACATCAAAAAGCAGTCAACTGACAAAATGTTCATCATATTGTCAGAAATATTTTGTTAGTTGACTCATTTATGATACCTTCGACAGGAACCGAGAGAATTGAGTTGAAAGTTAGAGAGAGGGGCTTCTATTACAGGTATTACAGGTTTTAAGGAATCAAGTTTCAGATTCAGAAAATCTAATCTTTTGAGGTGAGTCCAAAACAATGTGATTCCAAAACAATGTGATCATAATCACGATGTATTCTGAATCTAGGGAGATCAGATTACGACTAGATCTTGAAGCTAGATAGAAAAGATGAATATGATCGATGGATTCTTTTAAGTTTCCTACTATGATCCAATTAGACAATTGAAAATGGTTATTCTATAATAAAGTTTAAAAATCTCTGAATACAGTAAAACTTGTAATAGAAGGGCCTCCGCACTGTCAAGCTTGAGCTCATTCATCTCGGTCCCTGGAAGAGATATGAAAAAAGTGTCAACTTATAAAATATTGGTGATCTTATGCCAAACATTTTACCAGTTGGCAATTTTTTATTATCATTTACAGAAACTGAAATATATAGGCTCAAAGTTAATAGTTAGGGCTCTTCTATTACAGGTTTTACGGTTACTTTGATCTGATTGAAAAGTTTACCAATGAAAAATTATTTTCTTAACTGAATATACCAATCAGAAAAATAATCCATCGTGATTTAGAATCAGATATTGAGAAGAGAGAATGATGAACTTGTGACGAGTGGATGAAGAAGAAGTCACCTTCAGAAGAAGACAGTTTCTGATCGTCAAGGACGCCAAAAAAAAGTTAAAATTTCAAATTTTAGACAGAGAACAAAAGTGAAAATTTGTCGTCAAATTGATAAAAGGATAAATTATAAATATCAAAATGAAGAAGGGCGAAGGAGAATAAGAAGAAGATTGGCAAATAGGTTGCCCTGTTTGAGAGGTTGAGATGAAGAAAAAGAAAAAGAAGACCCAAAAGAATAATACTTATGATGACCGTCGCGCAGCATTATCTCTGCGTCTCGTCAACCTACACACTATTACTTCCGTTCGATTCATTTCATCTCCTTCTCGCCACAGCCGGTCGTCAGTTTCCTGCGTTCTACTCTGCATTCTCCGATCCAACCAACTGTATTTGAATTGGTCGAAATGCGAGACGATCTGCGTCTCCGAACCTTCGCCTACTGTTTTCTGAAATGCGCACCACGCGCACGCGCGCTCGCGGAAAAGGAATCATGGCGCGTAAGCAAAAGGGAGAAGGCAGAGACTGTCAAATAGAAAACAAAAACCCGAGAATAGAGAATGGAAAGCTATTTAGTTCAGAAATGTGTTCCCATTTTCTCGAAGATTTCAAATACAATTTTGGATAATATCAGATGCTTAAAAAGTGGAAGAAATCAATTAAAATCAAAGGAGGACTCCAACCAACTTTTTGCAATTTTTCAGAATTTTTCGCTGTTTTTAATCTTTTTTCTCTGTATTTTAAGAGAAGCTGTAAAATAGTCAATTAAAAACTCCTTGAAGGAAAAAAATCTCATTGACTTCACAAATTGCTGAAAACTTTCATGATTACAATTTGGACAAGAACTACAATGAAACGTGTAATAGAAGGGCCTCACATTGTCAAGTTTGAGCTCAATTATCTTGGCTCCTATTAGAGAGATAGCAAAATTTTGTCAACTAATAAATGTTTTTGATATTATAATAAACAGTTTATCAATTGTCAACTTTTTTATATCCTTATCAGGAACCGAGATAAATTGGCTCAAAGTTGACAGCTCTTCTATTACAGGTTTCACGGTAAGCGCGCTAGCGTTTTCGACGGCGTTTTTCAGGGACTTCAAATTTTTCTTTCCTGAATTTCTTCAAAATACTATTATGAAAATAGATATTTAGCTTCGGGAACATTTTAATGCAAAAAAAACCCCAAAAATTGTGTTGGAGACCCCCTTTAAAGTTTGTTGCTAGGGA